AAAAAAAAAAAAGAAGACAGTATTGAATGCTTGTCTGCTACTATCTGCTCCTTTTCTCCTTTTCTCTTAGGCAGCCTTTGGAATGGTGCTACTCAGGGTGAGCAAGTCTTTCTACCTCAAATGACAAAATCAAGTTAAACCCCGATAGATGTGCTTAGAGGCCCATCATCTTCCAGGTGATTCTAGATTTTCTCAGGTTGACACCACTAAACATCATGTCAACAAAAGCACATTCCACGTCTTCCTATTATTCTGGAGTCCCACTTGAATGTCCTGGAAACTTGATAACATTTTGCATCTAGGAACCCTACTTTGTTATTTATGTTAGCTTTCTCTTACCGTGATAAATACCTGAGTAAACCAAGAAAATGTTCATTTTTGCTCATAGTTTTAGGGTTTCAATGCATGGCCATTTGGCAACATTACCTTTTGGCCTGCTGTAAGGCAAGCACAAAATGATAGGAAACACATGGTTGAGCAATCTCCTCTCATGGCAGCTAAGAAGCAAAGAGAGAAGGATTCTGTGTTCCATGATCTCCTTGGAGCATATGACCTAAAACCTTCCATTCAACCTCACCTCCTCAAGGCTCCACCACTCAGCTGAGCCTGGTGTGGTGACCAAGCCTTTAATGTTTGGGGTGATCATTAAAGATTGAAACTGTATTACACCCAAGAGGCAATTCTCAAATAATATCAAGTAAAATCCTTCGAAGACACCAATCCTGCAACTGGTGGTATTAAGAATGCCAGAGGAAGAGTTTCCGGTCAAATAGTGTAACTCAGGAAGGAACCTGCCCTCAAGATGGTAACTCAGGAGGATGCAAATGAAAATCCTAAAGAACTGAAGTCGTCAGAGGAGTCTTTGGCCCACAAGAATTTCTTCTGCATCAGTAAATGTGCAGGCTTTTGGTTTTGTTTTGTTTTGATAGCTTGACACTAGAGTCATCTGGGAGCAGGGAACTTCAACTAGTGGATAGCAGATGGTCATTGATGATTGAACTGAAGAAAAGACAAAAACTTAGCCAGATGTGGTGGCATACACCTGTAATCCCAGCATTTGTGAGGTAGCTACGGTAAGATCAGACTTGCAGGACAAGCCCGGGATACATGAGATCCTGTCTCATAAAATAACAGATCAACAGAGGGAAAAAACAAAAACAAAAAACCCTCATTGTTAATGATAGGAAAATTAGAGGTAATTTACATGCCTGACTTGGTTAAAAGCATATTCCATGAGAACTAGAACCAGTAATAACCATGGCGTTTACTAAGGTGCCATTGCTAAAATACAGTATCTTAATCTTTTAAATACAATGAGTGAGTACATATACATATATGAATATATTGTATCATTGTTAAAATTATGTATTCATTTTATTTATTAACCATATATTAGTGTAGCCATTTAAAAAGATGCTTTCTAAAAGCAAATCTCTCTTCCACATCTTTACCCTAAAACCTGGAAGTCAGTATTAATAGCAATTTTATAACCAACAAAAGCTGAGAATAATGTTATTGACCTCCAGCTGGTGACTAGAACAATAAACATGTATACAGTGTTTATTCATAGACTGGAATTACTACTGGGCAATACAAAGAGCCAAATTAACATGGATGGTTATGGGTGGAGTAAGCTAAGTGACAGAATCTAGACCCGAAGTAAGTGTGTAATTCCACTTGTGTAGTGTTATAGAGAAAGCAAAACTATTGGGCTAGAAAACATGAATGATTGCAAGGGGGAGGTAAGTGCCTCTTAACTGCAATTTGACAGAAGGAAGTTTTTGTGGGTGGTGAAACTGTTCAGTCTTTTTTTCTTAAGGTTTATCTTTATTTATGTGTGTGTCTCTCTGTGTGTACATGGACACCAGAACAGGGTGTCAGACCCCCTGGAGCTGGGCTTCCAGGAGGTTATGAATCTCCTGGCTTGGGTGCTGGGAACAGAAACTCAGTTCTCTGGAAGAGTAGTGTGTGCTTGTAACTGCTGTGCTGTTTCTCCAGCTCGTTACTGTTGTGTCTTTTTTTTTTTTTTAAAAGATTTATTTATTTATTATGTACACAGAAGAGGGTGCCAGATCTCATTACAGATGGTTGTGAGCCATCATGTGGGTGCTGGGAATTGAACTCAGGACCTCTGGAAGAGGAGTCGGTGCTCTTAACCTCTGAGCCATCTCTCCAGCCCTTAAAGATTTATTTTATTTTTTTTATTTTACGTGTATGAGTATTTTGCCTGCATGCATATATATGTGCACCACATGCATGCCTGATGCCATGGATCCCCTGGAACTGGAGTTACAGACAGTTGTTAGCTGCCGTGTGGGTGCTGGGGATTGAACCTGGGTCCCCTAGAGGAGTAGCCAGTGCTCCTAACCACCGAGCCATCTCTCCAGCCCCCTGTTGTGTCTTGATTGTAGTGGATATGTGACTGCATCCTCAAATCTCAGGGGACTGGCTGAGCCATGGCGATGCATGCCTTTAATCCCAGCACTCAGGATCTCAGGACCATCTTGCTCTACAGAGCAAGTTCCAGGACAACCAGGGTTACACAAAGAAACTTTGTCTTGAAAAACAGAAACGTCATGGACTGCATTGCTTGTCGTATAGCAGGCTGCCTGTACCCTTCAGCTCTAGGATGGACCGAGAGCAGTGAGACAGGCAGGCTCCAGCTGCCAGCTAGGGGAGACCTGGACCTCCTGCTTCCTTCTCCATGGCTCTCTGCTGCTGCTGCTGCTGCTGCTGCTGCTGCTGCTGCTGCTGCTGCTGCTGCTGCTGCTGCTGCTGCTATATGCACCTCATACTGAAAACGGAACAGATGGTCATTTCTCGCCCCCCATTTCCTCTGGAACATTCTTAATCCACAGAGAAGTTTTGAGGGGGAAAAAGGCCTCCATTATTAAATGTGCAGTCTTCTGGCCCTTATGAGCATAAATTGTACCTAATTAGAATATGTCTATCAATCACGTTCATTTTGTATTTCTCAAACTATTTAGACATGGATAAGTCAAATGTTCCTGGAAATGGCTACATGGACATTGTCTGGTAGTGGAAATTTGTAAAAAACCATTAGAAAACAAACTCAAAGCTGAAATTTGAGTCAACAAAACAAACAGTTCTACCTAAGAATTACAATTGCTTTTCTCTGTCCTTAAGAATAAGAAAAATAGCTTTTCTTAGAACTTTAAATGAATATATTTTTAAGAACCAATGAATTTGCTTAATTGTGTTTCAGGTATAGTCTCCAAAAGTGTTTAATGAGTCTTTTGAGTTATTGATTGGTTGTCAATATTCATGATGATTATTCTTTAACATATTTTCTGTACATAAACAGCAATTGTTCATGGGAATTTGCCTAATTTCTATTAAATAACCTTTCATAGAGAAGAGAGACAGAGACAGAGAGACAGACAGAGGGAGAGATAGACAGACAGACAGATAGAGGGGGAAATATGAATTAATGTGGCTTCCAATAATGGTGAAATTTATGAATTACTTTTCTCATATAGAGAATAAGATTTAGGACACGTTGTCTATAAAACACCAAGACTACCTTCTTATTTTCCTGAGTTGTATCAGCACAAGGGCATAAACTGGTAATTAGTGTCTGTATAACACATAGGAGATTTTTATGGATTTATGATGTTGATAAGTACACAGCATGTATATGACAGTTTACACCTTCTTTATTAGAGAGTACTTTTATTAGAAATACTTGCATGATATGAAAATGCACACCACTTTAAGATTTCTATGTGAGTTGCCTATTTGAAAGCTTCATGGTTCGAGGCCAGCCTGGTCTACAAAGCAAGTTCCAGGACAGCCAGAGCTGTTAGACAGAGAAACCCTGTCTCAAAAAACCAAAAAGAAAAAAAAAAGCCGTGTGGTATTTCTGAAAACATTTTTAATCTTCTAGCCTCTTACAGTAAGCATTTTCCTCCCTCTGACATTAATTTCCTCCTTAAGGTTTTCACTTCTGTAGTAATCTTAGAGTAAATGGAAGTACACATAATAATAAGCCCATCTGGATTTTTAACGCCCTGATTTTTCTTAGGTAGTCTTGTAATAAGGAAGTAATTCAATGCAGAAAACATCAGTTCTGCACGTGCACACTGAGCTACAAACTGGCCAATATCCCATTCACTTAGCTCTATATATCTGAGCACATCCACCCTTACATTAGGACAGACAAGATTTGCTCTCTCCCTGGAGTAGCATATGCATAATAAAAAGTGAATAAATATTGATAATTGCTTCTACATGTGCAGAAATTTCGAAGCAAACTGTTAGAGGACTGTTTCACTTGTATCTAAGGCTTAAAGAGCAAGCATAGCAAATCTAATCCGTTCATTCTCCTGTTTTTGTAATGCACTACATCATACCTTCCTCCAGCACCAATACTTTCTCGTTTTTACCCCTTGCTTCCTATGTCCGTGAGAAAAAGGAATAATCAGAAAAAAACTTAGAGAAACCACCTCACTACAACCACTGCATGAGTCACCCACCTAGATCTGAATTGTCTGCTCTTTCCCCTTGTGAATGAAGTGTTCCTGGCTCTGCAGCTCTGAAATTCATACATTAGGTCTGGCACTTACCCTACTTACTGATTGTGATTTAGCAACTTTCTCCACTCTCCTGCATCATCACTCTCATCTGAATGAACTAGAAACCACCTTGCTAGAAACAACAATCAGTTCTCTACGATTCTGTTTTTAAGATTTATTTTTTAAGGCTATTTTGATTTTTGTTTATGTGCATGTGTGTGGCGATTGGCACAGCTTTGGGATCAACCTGACTTGGGCAACAGGGAATGAAGAAACAACAGACTCATTGTGGTAGTTTGAATGTAATTGACCCCCATAAGGTCATAAGGAGTGGCACTATTAGGAGGTTTTGGCTTTGTTAGAGTAGGTATGGTCTTGTTGGAGGGAGTGTGTCACTGTGGGGGTGGGATTTGAAGTCTCACACATGTTTAAGCCAAGTCTCAGACCACTTCCTATTGCCTGCAGGTCAAGATGTAAGAACTCTCAGCTCCTTCTCCAGCACCATGTCTGCCTTGCTTCCTGCCATGATGATAATGGACTAAACCTCTGAACTGTAAGTGAGCCACCCCAAGTAAATGTTTTTCCTTTGTAAGAGTTGCACTGGTCTTAGTGTCTCTTCACAGCAATAGAAACCCTAATTAAGATACTCATGAAAAGCTGAGACCCATGGATCATACACTCTGGTGGAGATACACCATCAGCAGCCCAGAAACTTGATATGTTTATTATATACAATATGAACAAGGAGCATGTTTATTATATTCAGCAAACTGAAGAGGCAGGAACTGGAGTTACAAGCATTTGTAAACTGCCTTACATGAGTGCTGGAAAACAAACTTGGGTTCTCTGGAGGATCAGTAAGCTCTCTTAACTGCTGAGCTAGCTCTCTAGCCCCTATTTTTATTTAATGTGTGTAGTATGGTGGGGGGAGTATGTGCCCATAAGTGCATGTCATTGAAATTTTCTCTGGGCCTCCAACCAGCTCCCAAATAAAGACACAGAGACTTACTATTAATTATGAATGCTTGGCCTTAGCTTAGGTTTGTTTCTAGCTTTTCTTTTCTTTCTTTCTCTCTTTCTTTCTTTCTTTCTTTCTTTCTTTCTTTCTTTTTTTTTTTTTTACTTAAATCAACACATTTCTATTAATGTGCTGCCCGGGGCTCATTTACCTTTTGTACATACTGTCCATCCTGCTTTCCTGCTTCCTCCATGTCTGACTGATTGGCCCCTGGCTGACTGGCTGGCTGGCTGGCTTCCCTTTTCTCTCTGCCCATCACTCCCTCCTCTCCCTAGCCTTTGGCCATTCAGCTTTTTATTAAACCAATTAGATGGCTTAGGCAGGCAAAGAAAAACAACATCACATCTTTACATAGTTAAACAAAAGCAACATACCTTTATGTAATGAAACAAATGCAACACATCTTGACATAGTTAAACAGTTATTCTGCAACACAAACAAATGTAACACATCTTTACTTAAACAAATATTCTATTCTACAAGTGCAGGTGCCTGAGGAAGATGTGTTTGATATAAGTGATTGTGAGCTGCCCATTGTGGGTACTAGGAACCAAACTCAGATCTTCTGTAAGAGTAGTGTACACTCAACCACTGAGCCATCTCTCCAGCTCCAGTTATCTGGGATTCTTGCAGTAGCCTATCTAGTATCCTTTCAGTTCCCTTCACCTCTGACATATTTTCATCATGACAGCCAGAATGACATTGTTAGTATCTAAGATCGTCATTTCACCTTTCTGCTCAGAACCTTCTGGAGGACTCACACTTACTGAGTGTAAAAGTTGAAGTCCTACAAAACCTTACGTGGTCTTCCTTGACCTCTTTCCCTAACAATGCATGCTGCGTTCCTTTGGCTCTTCCTGCACCAACCATACCAGCTTCTTTATTTTTTCTTGAATACCCAGATATACTCCCAATATTTGGCCCAAATTTTCACATCTTCTTCCTGATTTTCAGTATTCCTCAAATGTGACCTAATCAATGAAGTCTTGGCTGCCTGCGAACTCTGAAAGTATAGCTCACTGTAAATACACCTGCCCAGCATACAGGAAGGAACTGGATTCTGTGCCTTGTGGGGCTTGGGGGAGAAATTATTTTCTCCTCCTCCCTGCTCTGTTTCCCCTTATTACCATTATCACCATCCTGTAAAATACAATACATTTTTACTTATTAGTTGTTTATGGTATGTCTCATAAGCAGTGTGGGATTTCCACCCCTTTGTACCTCCCTCACAGGTTACTAGTATATTCCAGGAACATAGTAAGTAGTCTGTAAACACTGGTCAAGAACCAATCTGTTTTTATGAAGGTATGACTAGAAAATGACTTGGGAAAATAAATGCAAATTGAATTTGTTCTCATCTTTTTTCACCATTTCTGTTTCATAGAATTCATGTGTTTAGCTTCAAATGGCCTAACCTAAGCATTCTCCTTTCTAGGAATTATGAGTGTCTTCTCCTATATAGTTTAAGAGAAATACACAATGAAAGAATTATGTACCTCAGGGCTGCCCAGACACCTCAGTTGGTAAAGAAAGACACTGCCACCAAACCTGATGACCTGAGTTTGAACTTTGGGACTTACTTGAAAAAAGGAAAGAACCATCTTATACACACGTTTTTCTCTGACCTCCACATGCTCATGGCATGGTGTGCCCACACATTTTTATGTCCATTTTTTCTCTTATTGTTGAGATTATAATTATAACATTTCTCCCTTCCCTTTTGTGTCTGCAAACCTTCTCATGTACCCCTCCTTATTTGCTTTCAAATTCACAGCCTCTTTTTCATTAATTGTTGTTATATGCATATGTGTGTATAAATATATATTCCTAAATATAACCTGCTTAGTCCATATAATGTTGTTTATATGTACATTTTCAGGGCTGATCATTTGGTTTTGGATGATGAGTTTGTGTGCTCTTCCATTTCTCCCACTCTGAGCATTCCTTATTTGCCTTTGTGTAGGGTTGAGGCCTCATGAGCTTTTCCCCGTCCACTTTGGCATGTCTATTGGTGTTGTTCTTCAGGTCATATTTAGGCAGTCATGTTGGTGGAACTTTATGATTGGTGTATGCCTTTAATCCTAGCACTCAGCAGACATAAGCAGGCAGGTCTCTGTGAGTTCAAGACCAGCCTAGTCTACATATTGAGTTCCAGGTCATCCGGGCTGCTAGTGAGACTGACCCTGTCTAAAAACAAAATGTTGCTTAATTTCCAAATATTTTGGATTTTTATAGAAAACTTTTCTTGATTTTTGTTGATTTCTAGTTTCTATTTTTCTTTATTTCTAACTTAATTACTTTTTAAAATAAGAACTATTTTTATAATTCCAATCTTTTTAAATATTTCGAGACTTGTATACTGACACAGTGGACAGTCAGTATGAATATGAAGAGTGTTTGAAAAGAAAATGTGTATCTAGCTGTTATGGAATGGTGTGTTCTGTAACATCAGATAGGCTGAGTTCTTTGATAATATTACTGAAATCTTCCATGTCTTTGTTGATTTTCTGTATGTTTGTTCTGTCAGTTTATTGATCAAAGAAATTAGAGTTTCTATGACTGTAAGTTTATCATACCTCCTTTCAGTTGTATTAGCTTTTATTTATATTTTGAAGCTTTGTTAGGTAGATGAATATTAAGAATGGTTATATTTTCCTGATGATTGACCCTTTTCCCATTTTGAAATATTTCTCTTTATTCTGGCAATGCCTATCCTCTGACCTAAAGTATACTTTGCTAATAGCCACTAGTTCATCTTCATTATGACCAAAGTTTAAAATATGTATCTTTACCTATCCTTTTGCTTTAATTTGTGCTTTTATATTTAAAACATATTTCTTAATGATAGCATACAGTGCTTCATTGTCTAGTCTGACATTTCTGCCTAATTAGTATGCTTAGTTCATTTGCAGCTAATGTAATTATTGACATGATTAGGTTTATCTGCCATCTTGCTGTTTTGTTTGTTTGTCTCTGTTCATAGTCTCTCTCTCTCTCTCTCTCTCTCTCTCTCTCTCTCTCTCTCTCTCTCTCTCCTTCTCTCCCTCCCTCCCTCCCT